GTGGGGGTTGATTGATTCTGCGGCGCTGATGACGACTGTCTCGACCTGTTTTTGGTGTCAGTTTTTGTTCGCGAATCTTCTAGCTTCTCTGACTCTCTTCCCTTGAGGGGGAAAATAGAGAGACTGCGGCAGGGGATAACATACACCAATGAAGGAGAAGGACGCGTTCACAAAGGCAGCGAGGAAGCCCAGGAAGTGACCAGTCGAACCGGTGATGCCGTTGTAATCAACCCAGGCACCTGGGTTGTTCCAGTACCGGAAGCCAATGGCCTCGTGGTTGGGACCTCCGCCGGCGGTGATGATGATGGAGGTGAAGACTAGGCCGATGAAGCAGAGGACCTTGATGGAGCCGCCCACGACCTCGGTCTCGCCGTACCAGCGCACGCTGAGCAGATTACAGAAGAGGATAAGGGCGAGGGATATCGTGATGACGACCGCGGGCGTTATGTCTGTCCAGTACGATACCAGAATCGCAGCCGCCGAGGCTTCTGCGCCGATGGAGATTGTGTAGCAGTAGCCGTAGGAGATTGCGAGGGAGAAGCCGACGGCCGGGTCGATGAAGCGGGTTGCCCAGTGAGGGAATGAACCGGCGGTGGGAATCTGTAATCAAGAGTCAATTTGCCGTTACGCGAAATAACTGTGAGAGAGCGTCTTCTTTTGTCACGTACCAGCGTCGCAAGTTCTCCAATACTCTGCATCACACACCACAAAACGGCACCGACGATGATGTAGGCGAGCAGAAGACCAGCCGGGCCGGCCTTGGCGTAGGCCGAGCCCGTTCCGATGAAGAGACCAGTTCCGATACCACTGCAGAAACCAATCATGGTGACCTGGTAGTCGCGAAGACGGCGCTGGGTGCGGCCGTGGCCGCCGACGTTGAGCTGGGGCTCCAGGATGGCAGCCTTGTCGTCGTGGTGGTCGTGGTGGTCCTCGGCACCAGACTTCTCAATGTCGCGGACCACATCGTCGTCGGCGGCGGGCCCGATGGACCGGGGCCGGGAGGAATCGTACGCCGTCATGGCTGAATATCCTGTTTCTCAAGGACAGTGACTGAAGCCGGCGATTGTTCCGTTGGGGCTAAATGCCTATGTTTGTTCGAAACTTGAAGGAATGAACAGTCGAAAGGTTGTCCAGAGGGAACGGACTCGTAGACGTGGAGGGGCCCAGATCCAGATTATATGAAATACCTAGCGGGAGTCAATCCCATCTGCAAGATTTTTTTCGCATCCCTAGGGCGAGACCGGAGGACTGGGCACTAGACAATGGCATCATCGGGCTAGTTCGCGGGGCGTTCCTGGGTAGTGTGGGGGCATGAGGGGCGAAGATGAGAGCTTGCAGCAGATCGTGAAGCTGGGCGTTCTCACCGAGCTTGGCCGCGCTTCACCTCTTCACCTCGGTCTGCTTTCGGTCTGGATGTAGTCTTCTGCCATGGTGATACGATTACCACACGCTGTGAAGGTCTTGATGGCACCTCAAACGTGTCGCATTTGACACAACACATCAACAAGCATAGACACGAAGCTTCAGAAGCTATCCCATCTCCGGTCTCGCAGAAAAGCTTTGAGAAATGGAGCGATGGCAATTCCAGGTACGTAAAAATTCTTCCCAAGTTGGCCGAGGCGGGCGGGTCCGGGGTCGCGGAGGACGGGGTGCTGTGGGCCCCATCCAATTTGCGCCGGCGGTACGGAGGTACAAAGCGCGGTAGCGCGGTATGTGGCGGGCCCGATTCCACTCATTTCAGCACCCATTAGACTTGTGAGTGGCTAGAAGCGCCGGCTGCAATCTGCGAACAGGGAGGCGAACGCATGAGTCGTTCATCTGAAAATCTTCTACAATTCTTCTGGAAGAATAGCGAGAAAAAAACTTGCGCCGAGCTAGTAATGCCCGTGACAAAGGGCACTTGCAAGAAAGGGTCCATTCCCACGTGCTGCCTCCCGAGGGACCTGGCCAAGACGGGATCTTACCTCCAAGACCGGGAGAGGGACGAGGGGTTCTCAATAAAGATGGGAACTGATAGCATAGTTGATAGGAAGCCCTGGCGTCCCTCTGCGTCACGCAGATCGATGTAAGAGGAGGTCCAAATTGATCAACATCTTCAAGATCTACCAAACGGTGGGAAACCTGCCAAACGCCGCGTCGCGGCAACCGATCCGGGTATGGCATTCTAAGATCGCAACCGCCGTAAGTCAAATACTCCAAAATTCTGCCCACTTCTCAATGACCGCCTCGAATTGCGCGATCCGGAAACCCCGAACCAGACTACTGCGTACGCAACCACAAACCACACACTGGTTCTTTCTTTCTAATCACCGGCGCATCAGATCAGGGCAGAGTGACCTCGCACTTGTGCCCGACAGGGCTGATCATGAAGAAGTTCTCCATCTCCATCATCTCATCCGTCATCCCGCGCGCCATCTTCAGACCCCTGCACTCCCGAAAGAGCACGGCCACACCTAGTCTAAGTTCCATTCTCGCGAGCTCTACGCCCAGGCAGATCCGCGAGCCCGCGCCCCATGGCGAGAAGAGAAGTTTCTGGTTCGGCGTGAGTTTGGTTTGGTCCATGAATCGTGTCTCGTCGAAGCTTCTGTCACGTCAGCTGGTTGCTTCTTTTCGACGCCATTACGTCGCAACACCACATTCGTAAAGTAATCAGTGAAAGCCTTACCGTAGGGGATCCGGCCACACCTCCGGACCCCGGTGAAGCGTGTACGCCTGCGTCTCCACCGTCACGCCGCCGGGGACAAAGTAGCCCCCAAGCGTGGCGCCGCCCGCCGGCACCGACCTCGACAGTTGTCCCGGGACAGCGCCGTATAGCCTTAACGTCTCGTCAATCACGGCGTTGAGCAGCGGAAGCTTGTCAAGCCCATGATCGTCGAAATCGAGGGTCAACCCCGCGACCTCATCTTCCAATTTGACCTTCAACTCAGGTCGCTTTATGACCGCCCAAACTAGGTACGCCAGCGTGATGGAAGTTGTGTCCGAGCCGCCAATGATCATACTCCGGCTTTCTCTCTGCACCATTTCTTCCGTTACCTTCGCATTGCCGCCCTTCTCTTTTTCTTCTTTGCTGCTGGTGTCGTCTGCGTCGAGAGCATTCAGCAAGGTCGCGAACAGAGTCCTGTTGCGATCGCTGTTCTGGCGGAGGCTCTCAAGCGCGCGATTACCGTAGCTGTCAAGGACGGCTTGTGCGTCGACGAGATCTGTCGAGAATTTGAGGAGTGGCACACGAGAGCGGATGAAGTGCAGCCAGGGCAGCTCATAACGCGTGATGTTTTGGACCGATATAAGCTCCAGCATCTTCATGTAGTCATTTTTCTTCCATCTTGTCGTTAGTGTACTGGCCAGCAAAACGTAGGAGGGAATTGAGTAACATCATACCTCGCCCAGTTCGAGCATATTGAAAGACTCCCCGAAGCACAAATGAGCCACGACATCAGTCGCCATCATGGTGAACCACTTCAAGACATCCGAGCACCCACCCCCCTCAGCCTCTGCACGTATCTTGCCTACCGCTGCATTCACCTTCTCTCTAACGACGCCCTCCCACTCTTTCCTGAGTGAAGCCTTCGTAAAGACCCTGCCGAGTAGTCTCCTGCGGATAGCATGTTTCCTCGGATCACGCATCGCAAAAATACTCGGCTCGCCCCCGTCAGGCGAGTTAGACTCCTCGTACCACGGCGCCTTGAGGAAGCCGCCTCCGATGCGGTGGATTGCGGTAAAGCCAGCTGGGTCTGCGACGGCTACTTCGTGGGGAGAGATGCGAACAATAGGGCCGTGGCTGGCGTGCAGCGCGTGGACATAGTACATCCGGCGGCCAGTGAGGACGTGGTATTTGAGAGGTAGGTGGGTGAGGAGAGTATGCCATGGGCCTGGGATGTGTCGGAGGGGATTGATGAAGGCTGTGTGGATTGTCTGGATGAATTAGTTGCTGGGCACTGAATGAAGACAGCACAGCATTTCTTGCAATATTATCGTAGGATAGAGGCTTTACTGAATGGATAGGCATCTATCCGCTGTCTGTTATTTGAAGACAGTGCTTACATAGGTAATGAGGATTAGAATTAAACCTATGGCAGCATAACCCATTCCAACATGGTTCGTGAGGTCTGTGGATAGCATCATTATAAAATGTGCAGAGCTCTTCATGTACAGAACTGACTGGAGGAGGCAAATGGAGTTTGGGTAGATGATAGAGATTGGGCTCACACAATCATGTTATCCTAGAACGTCGCGGAAGATGAGAATGCGAGTGGAGGATTAGAGTGCTTTTCAAGGCATCCCTTCTCAGCTTTTGACTTTTTTTCGCTATCGTTCTCGCTCACTGTTCCGCCGAAACTTTGCCTAAAAAAGAGAGGAGGATCAAGACAACCTGTGATGAAGTAATCTTCCCCTCAGTGTCTGGTCTCGATGAAAGCATAAAGTGAGCACGTAAGAAAACGGGATATCATTCAAAGTTTGAACCTTGCCATGATTGTCCAATCTGCTGTTAGGGACCCAATATTTGAGTTGAAAGTACTACTCTGGAATACTGCATACTACGCCAATATCACTAATCAAGTCATCCCCGACTTGGATTTGTCGAAATAAGATATCCAATCATATGCTCGAGAAAAGAAATGGGCAGTTGACTTCTTGTTCATTACAACACAATTCTAGCTGCGGAGGCTTGAATTCTCTCTGGATTGACAGGCAGCGGAAATACTTGGTAACCAGATACTTTACGTCACCCGACTCGATTGGCACCGAGAATGAAGTGAAGTCCAACAAAGCTAATCAGAGCCCAGTGCTGCTGCCTATATATGTAGCCGACTATTTTGAGGAAAGGGGAAATCTTAAACCGATCTCTACATCTATAGAGTGTAGGATGAGGTGTAAATCTAACATCCCGCCAGGCTGCAATACGTCTGCTCAGGTCTGCCAATGAAACTCGAGCTAAGGTTACATCTCCCACAATGAAAGATACGCTCAAGGTATATCCTGTGTCTTGTTTTGTGAACCCCTCAAAGGCGCCGAGACCCGCTACCCTCCTCAAGATCCCGAGCTTCCATTTCTGGCTCATCGCCATCGCTAAGTGGTGTATACTCGGAAACGGTAGACGAGAAGAAGCCCGTCTTGGAGACACTTCGGCAGTGAGGACATTCGCAGCTGCGACTGACGAGAAAATGAAGAGCCTGCGGTAGGACAATGTACAAATGGACGCCCCTAAAGAAAATTGTCAGCCTTGAGAAGCTCGGTCAACTCCGAGACAAGAAGAATACTCACAAGTCAAACATCATGAATACAGTGCAATACGTTCCCAGCACAATAAGTGGCTCATGCCACGGATCCGTCAGGAGAATCCAACTCGGGATCAGGAACGAGAGGTGGAAGACCGCGAGGAGGCAGTCGGCCCAGAAGATATTGGATTCGGAGAGGGCTTGGATCGGTGAGCCGAGAGCGGCGACGGCATCGCGGTTGAGGACAAAGAGGCCAAGGAGGGCCGAGGCGGCGAGTGGGAGGAGACCCAAGGCCGGGAAGGCTCGCTCGGATGCTATCCCGTGGGCGATGAGGAGGATCAAGGCTGGTGGGAAGGCAATTATCTCGAGACGCCGGAGGGTGACGATTCTGGCTGCTGAGGACATCTTGGCTTTGGTGATGTATGTGTTTGGTTGTTGTTGGTTGCTTTGATCGTTTCACGGGATGAAGATAAAATTTGAGGATTGGATTCTTGGGTATACGAGTAGACTTATATTAAGATCAGATCCTTAAGGTGTTGCCTAAAACCTGTCCTCATTTGGAGTGACAAGAGAGATGTTACATGCACGTATCAAGCCAAGTGCAAAGCCACACACAACCAACGGCCTGGAATAGGAATTCTGGGGTGGTACAAGAAGATCTCATAGGTCCATCGTCCAAAAAAGCTTCAAGCCACAGGGCTGAAAAACATCCCGGGATCCTAAATTGGGGAGGATGGGAGCCTGGACTGCCGATCTGCATGGGTCCAAATCCTTCATAGGCAAACTAACGTGCTTTAGTATGCCGTCCTGCCAAAACAGGCCAATTGGAGGAGAGGTCAGTAGGAAGTAGTCGCGCTTTACCCAGGACACAGATTGTGGCTGCGTCAAGAAGTCAGGCAGACTTGAGTGCTATGCCTGCTGGTTCGAAGGGAGTTTGGTGATGACTTCGACCTGCGCTAGTATGAGGTTTTTACTAGCCACGGGCGTATGTGTTAAGCGCCAGAGGTACCTTGTTATCGACGAAATTGGATTCTTTGGATTCTTTAGATTCTTTGTGAGTCACAGGTTGGAGAAGACAGTTTTAATACAATAGTGGCCTCCGTCCACAAATAAGAAGAGGATCTATCAGCTTGGTTAATTCGATGCGACGTGGCCTTTTGCAATGTAGACACCGTGGTGTTTCTGTCTTGCAGCTTCAAAAAAAAGTACTTTCATCGTGTAACAACTCTTTGCAAGCAACTCTTAGTTTAAGACACGTGTCAAGTAATGAAATCTACCTTAGATTCAACGAAAGCAAATGAGCGCTAGATGCGTGAGTTCGATTACTCAATTTGCATGGACGGTGTTGCTGCCTAGTCGAATGTTTGCGAAGCCTGGGTTTGTCGTGTATAGGTATCCTTGCGCTGCTAAACAGAGTGGATTACAAGAGGAATTACAGTACTGAACATGTCACTGAAGATCGGCATGCTGGTAAATCAATGAAATAAACTTAATTCGATTGAATGATACGTAAATCTTGCAACTGGGTATCCCAGGATGAATCCAAACTCCCCTAACCTCACCTGACTGACTTACTTGAGCAGAGAACCCAACAATAGAAGAAGAAAGTTAACCAAAACGCCCCAAAAAATCAGTGAATATTCTTGCCCAGCGCGGAGAGTCTACCAGTCACCTTATGCAAAGGTAAAGTGCTTATCCAGTTCCTTTCTCAACTCCTTGGACTCCGCGTCGACAGCGTCCAAGTTCCTGCCCAGCCAGGCACAATCCCAGAACGTAAAGAGCGCCCAAACTTTGATTAGAGAGTGAGCGTAAGCAAAGAGAATCTGGCATGGTATCAAGGGGATATCGGAAGGGTGGCGAAGGATGTGTGGCCAGAGCTTGATAGTCTTGGTCCACAGGACCCAAAGCGCAAGCAGACCCATCTCGCTCGTGAAAACACCCCTGGTATGCCATGAAAGATACAGAGACACGAAGAGAGTTGCATCCCAGAACAAAGCAAAGTTGAAGAGCGCCGCTGCGTATACCGCCACGTAGGTGTATGGCATTCTCCAGGTGTAAACGTCGCTGACACGCCTCAACATGCACGGGTTACTTCGGAACGTCGTCCTAGCCCAGCGAACTAGCTGGCCCCGGAACTTGACGGCATTCTCGTCGCCCAGCGACGTCTCGACCACGCTGTCTTCGGTCTGCTGGAACTTGACTTTCCAACCGTGTCGGTACGCTTCGCGGGTGAGAAAGTTATCGTCGTCGGGGCCGAGACCTTTACCGCCAAAAAGACCAAAGAAAAAACGCTCCCTGCAGAATCTGTCCATGAAACCCATTGACTTGAGGAGCTTGGTTCGGTAGGCGGCGGTGCGGCCAGAGACGACAAAGACGCCTCCGTCGATGGCATTGGAGGCGCGTAGCTCCCAGTTATGGCGAAGGAGGTAGAAACATCCGATGAGGTTGACAATAGAGATGACGGACCACTTACCAGGTGTCGTGCGAAGCACGCGCTTGTATGTCGCCACCACGCCCATGTTATTGTCCTCAAAGGGCGCAAGGACCGAGGGTATGAACTCAGTGCTGGGCCAGTAAACGTGGTCGTCGGCGAGGATCGTGAATTCGGTATCGACGTGCGGTACGGCGTGAGCCACCTGACGTCGCTTCGAGGGGTGGAGGATGGCACTCACACCGATTCTCGTGGAAGGGTATTGTTTCTTGTAGCGCCTGGCGACTTTCTCGCAGCGACGGCGCATCTTGGCGCCGACGGTGACGATGAGAATGGCTGCTGGTCTGTTCTCGAGTACGGAGATGATGCATTTTACAAACTTTACGTTACCTGGATCAATCGTGGGGAGAACCACTGTGACGTCTCTATTGGTCCATTTTGGCCAGGCCTGAACGGGGGATGGCTCGTATCGCCAGCTTCCCCAGATGTTGCAGAATAGGCGAGTGTAGCGAAGGACGAAGGTGTACTGGAAAATCGTGGCCCAGTCCCCTGCAGTGTAGTCATAAAACGGGGTTGCTAATTTGCTGTAGATCTCTAGCTTCCAAGATAGCAATATGGTGAGAATGAAGAAGATGAACTGTTTCGGGTTATTTCGAGGGAATCCTAGTATCGTAGTCAGAAGTGAACTGGGGTTGTTTTGGGTTGCAGGACGGACTTGGCCGCCAGAAGCATGCTGTATCGAGTGAACTGATGATACAGAACCTTCTGTGTCAGAACTGTCCGTGTAGTCGTCAGTATAAGACATTTTGAGTCGTACTGTTGATATCGAACAAGTGAGATGAGGATGCTGGAGGATGTATTGACAACTTACAACTCCGAATGTCTTAGATCAACGACGTTAAGCCTAGTTATATGATACAATTAGCACGATATGACAGAGACTGAACAAGTCTATTGCGTTGCTAGACATTGGAAACAATGACACACACCTTCACATCCAGTCTTTGTTGGTGACCGATAATCCTTCGTTCTCTACGAAAGAAACGCCAAGGCAATGCTTACATCGGATTCAATGGAAACAAAACAATAACCTTTGTCAAGGTGCAAATGAATTGGCAAAGAAAACAGGCCTGTAAAACCGAGGGCTGTTCACTGTTCTCAAAGACGATAGCCTTGTTGCGAGTTGTTTCAGAGACAAGGCTATTGTCTCGCCAAGGCTTCGAAGGCGTTGAAGTCTGGAACATCAAGACTATTATTGGACTACATTGATACTTAGGAACGGGCAAAAGAACAGCACCCCCATGCGCTTCATGGAAGCAAGGTTTTATCTAAGCTGCGGATCTCTCATGTAAGACTGGAAGCTCAAGGCGAAGTCGTTTCATTTGTCATTGAGCATGTCAAATTCTTCCCTACGTCATATGGGAATGGTTAATTGAACATTATTAGCAAAGTCGGTATCTCAGGTGCGAATAATGGAAGTGAAACGTAGTACTCTCAAGAGCCTATATACAATGACTCTCGCTAATCTTAGATTCTTAGTGCATCATGGGACGAGCATCCTCTACCATCTCACTTGAGCCAAAATACTTTTCCAACTCGTTCTCAAGCTCTCTCCCCTCAACGTGACGCATCTCTCTGGCGCGTTTGACAGGGTTGACTTTGTCGGCGTGCGCGCTGGCGAAGATAACATCAAGCTCCTCCAAGCTCCGTCCCTTGGGTTCAGGGAAGAAGAAGTACACGCAGGGGATGATGGCGGCGTTGAAGACCGCAAACATCACATATGTCCGATAGCCCAAGTTGGCAAAAGCAGGGGGTGTGATCATGACAATCAGGAAATTGGAAAGCCAATTGGAGCAGGTGGAAAGGGCGTTGGCTTGGATGCGGATTCGGAGGTTGGTGATCTCGGCAGGATAGAGCCAAGTCATTCCAAGCCAGCCTGCTTGAACATTAGTGTGATATCATAAAGAGGTCTTGGTAGTGGTGAGAGGGGCTTACCGATAGCGAAGAATGAGTTGAAGACAAAGAGGAAGACTGTTGCGGTGACACCATAGCGAGTCTCAAGATTAGGGGCTCCGTTGTCTGCAACTGTGCCCGTTGAGACAGTGCCGGCCAGGATCGCCATTGATGCCATCATGCCGAATGCGCCGAAAAGCATCAGCTTGCGTCGACCAGTTCTCTCAATTAGTGGTAAAGCAACCAGTGAAGCTAGGAAATACTCGGTGCCATTGAGAGCGGCGAGAAGTCGAGAAAGTTCGGGACCGAAGCCAAGAGAATTCTCGAACAAAAAGCCAGCATAGTAAGTAATCAGATTGATACCTGTGAGAACGTGTTAGTCAAAAAGTCTAATAACGGGCAGTTGTCCCGACTGGACCTACCGCAGATCTGCTGGAAGAATTGTGCGGCAATGCCGAGCAGAGTCCTCCTCAAGTTTTGCGAAGGGCCGTTTGTTAGGAGCTCTTTGTACTTGAAACCCCCACCTTGGCTCTGAACCTCGAGGGCGTCCTGAATGGCTTTGACTTCGAGGGTGACTTCCTCGTCATCAATAGGTTTACCAAGAAGGCGAGACGTCACTTCACGAGCTTCTTCCATACGGCCCTTCATGGCTAGCCACCGGGGCGAGTCTGGAAGGTAGAGGAGTCCAATCATGACGATGATCGTGAAGAATGACTGGAAAGCTACGGGGAACCGCCAGCGGACGGTGCCTTCGAGGAAGTAGAATCCGTAATCCTTTGCAACATTAGTCTGCGTAAATGAGACAGTTGTGGGGCAAAAGAACTTACCACCCAGTATGCAATCATGATACCACCAGAAATGAGAGCGCCAGAGAGCGTGATGAGGAATCCGCGCTGATGAGGTCGAGCGCATTCCGATTGCCACGTTGGGATAGCTGCACTTTGGTTAGGTCATGACCTTAGTAGACAAGAGAAAGGACTGCGAGTGGTCTTACTTGATGTGACCATTCCATTTCCAACCCCTCCGATGATTCTTCCAGCCGAAAACAGTCCGTATTCATGCGCTCCAGCCTGCAGAATTGTGCCAAAGATCATGATTGCACTACCCCAAAACGTGGACGACTTGCGACCCCAGGTCTCTCCGTAGAAGAGGATCAGGAAAGCCCCCAGGAAGCACCCAATCTGATAGACGGCCACGGCTGCAGCTTGCGTGTTTGGGTCACCGGTGCACTGGCTGTAGTCTCGCTGGGTATTTTCGGGGTAGTCGAGCCAGCAAAGAGTGTTTGACTGGTCCAGGGGCGTCATCAAGGTAATGCTCCTCTGAAAGTCATCGAGAGTCAGAAGCGAGCTAAGGACACCTCTGGATACTAGTATTAGAACCTGGTTTCCTAAAGGTTGGAGCGAAAGACACGTACTGATCATAACCAAACATCAAGAAACCGCAAGACGCGATGAATCCAATACTCCAGTTGAGCAGCTTGCCCTCGAGACGTTTCCCGCGGAACCCCCACTCTGGCAGATCGCCCATCTTGGCGAAGAATCCCATCAAGCCTCCAGGCGACTTTGATTTCTGGTCGACGGCACGGCTGCTGTCGACCGATGACGGCGTTCGGCTGCCGCTGTCGCTGGGTTGTTCGCGCTTTTCCTGTTTCTCGGTCATATTGGGCTCAACAGCCGTACTGTGCTCGGCCATGTTTATTCCGATACCGACCCAAGTCGACAAGTTGAAAATTGCATGTAGTGGTGGACGATCAATCGAAGCTTGAAGGTCTTGGGGAAAGCGTGGCTGCAGGATGTGCGTCCAGCTTTGTACTTGCTCACTTCTGACTCACGGCTTAGCGTCTTGACCAACATCGTTGGCCACCGATGAGACGGTATTTGGTAAAGGGTGACTTGGCTGAGGTCATATTGAGAGTTGGGAAAGCTGACAGACGAACAAGAGACATCGATATGGAGACTTTGCGTCTTGGAACAGCGCTACCCACATCTTTCCCCGGGTGAATGTCTTGGGTATTGGTGGTTAAGCGCCGTTGGTTGAATTCTCTAGCCAACTGCAGGAAACGGCCCGATGCCATGTCGTCGGTTGGCTGGCCAAATCTCTTTCACAATGCTACTTTCGTTTCAATGATTGCGAATTTTGACGTTTCCTTTTCTCCTTTTTCGCCATCCTTCGTAGAGGCAGATGCAGATCTAGACAGGCCTGTGAAGATAGTTAAGCTCTTCGACAACGACGAGCTCTGGTCAATCTCTGAAGTACAATAGGTGAAATGACTCGAATACTAGAGAACATGTCTTCATGATATCAGTCGATAGCCAGCTGACTTCCGGCAGTGGATCGCGAAAATCATCGCCGAGCCCGAAGAGCCAACATCCTCCCGCACGGGTTGCCCAATAGAGTAAGCCGAGGCTGGGCGGCCCAAAACTTTTCTTCCTTTGACCTGGACAAAAATTAATTGCAGCAAGCTGAAAGGTTATGGGAAGAGTAAGACCCTTTTTTAGTCTTGGTGTTGTCTTGGTCGTCGCTTGGTGTTTCTCGGCGGGCAAGGGTTCGCTTGCGGAAATGACGTTGGCCAAGTTTTAAGCTTAAATCGCTAGTCGGTTGATGTTGGACTATTTGATACCCACGGGGTTCTTGAGTCTCTCCACTTCCATGTCAGCAGCTGCGGAACCTCGAATTTGGCGAGCCTTGAGCCAAAGTACTTGGGCGGCTTTGTTTCCGAGGGTAGACATACACGGCATGATCTGCGAGAAACGGAAAAACCTTGTTCGAGCGGCAATGAATGTCGTATTTAGACAACCCGGTCTTGGGGAGCCGAACTCATTTCGACTCTCCAGCAACTTCGTGTCTCACGTCAAGTATGAGCCAAAAACAGTACTCAATCTCAGCTTTCGAAAACAGACTAATATCGAATCTCCGCTCGTGATGGACGAGACTTTCAATCCCACAGTTTGCAGTGAGCCGGCCTAGACTTGCACTCGGGAAGCAAAGAAGAGCGGGTGGAGTAAGAACTCCTTCTGCGGCATAACCTGAGTTGCGTAGCCGCCATTATTTGAAACGACTCAGCTAGCAATGGAACCAAATTTTGCACGAGAGATATTATCAGTCATAACTTCTCATTTTCATTTAAACGTTACGACATGGTCTATTAAAGCTTGAGAATAGCCTTTCCGAAGTTCTTTCCGGTAAGCATGCCGATCAAACCATCAGCAGCGTTGTCGATGCCCTCAGTAACCGCCAGCTTGGACTTGACGCTTCCCTCAGACAGCCACTTCTGCAAGTTCTCCTGGTGATCCTTGAAGTGGGCGGGCCCAAATTTGGGGTTACCCACGAGGAAACCTTGGAGGGTGATCTGCTTGGTAACGAGCTGCATCAAGCCGTTGATGCCCTTTTGTTGATCGGCAGGGGTGTTGTAGTTTGAGATCTGTCCACGCATTAGCGTCCTGTTCAAGCTCGAATACCGAACTCTTGTTCACTTACCATGCCGCAGACAGCAATGCGACCTTCGGTGTTCATGCTGGTGAGGGCAGCCTCGAGGTGATCTCCGCCGACGTTCTCAAAGTAAATGTCTATTCCATTGGGGGCCAACTTGGGAAGAGCCTCGGCGGGCTTCTCCTTCTTGTAGTTGAATCCGGCATCGAAGCCAAGCTCCTTGGTGATGAAGTCAAGCTTCTCATCTGAACCGACGGAACCGATCACGGTAAGTCCCTCCCGCTTGGCAATCTGACCGACGAGCTGGCCGACAGCACCCGCAGCGGAGCTAACAAAGATGGTCTCGCCCTTCTTCGGCTGTCCAATCTTGTGCAGGCCGGACCAGGCGGTCAGACCAGGCATTCCGAGAGGTCCAAGGAAGAGCCCAAGGTCCAGGTTGTGGAGGTTCTGCACCTTGCGGCCTTGCTGCAGGATCTGAGGTGTGACGCGGGCGTACTGAGCGATGGGAGTGTGGGAGTAGACGAGGTCGCCCTCCGCAAAGTCGGAGCTGTTGCTCTTGAGAACCTTGCCGATTGTGCTGTTGGTGACGGGCCCGTCGAGCTCGAAGGCGGGGGAGTATGATTTTTTGCCGGCGTCGCGCATGCGGCCACGCTGGTAGGGGTCGAAGGAGGCATAGAGAACCTCGATGACCAGGCCGCCCTCGGGAGCATCGTTAAGGTCAATAGGGCGGTCCTCGATGGTGAGGTGCTCCCCTGCTACCGGGAGACCGGTGGGGATCTTCTTAAAAATGAGGGTCTTGTTTTGGGTCATGGTGAATGATGTGGGTTGGAGGAGCTTCTTAGATGAAGTCTGGTGAGTGGTCTTGGATTGTGAGCTTGAGGATGGTCCAAAGGCCAGTAATTAGTGTCTGATAACTAGGAGACCGGACTTCAAGAAATAGTCTTTCAATTAAAGCTGCATTGACGTAGTTGTGGGCAGAAAGTTGTGCCGAGGTATGTGAGCTGTGATTTGTAAGGATATTAACGCCGATAAAGAGAGCCAACCCCGCGCGTTCCACGCCTCACCCCGCCTTTTCTCGACTACGATGCTTTGGACAGTTACACGCGAGTAAGGTGCAGTAAATATGACGTGCTGTTGCTTAATCATCACAAAAACTATCGTACGACAACGGCGATAATGACAATCCATGGCAAATCGCCACAGACTGGTCTTCGAGATGAATGAGGCTATTCGCAAACCAGCTGACCGATGATGAAGTCTGCGAATTGGAGCCGACTGTGATTCGTCTGGGTACTTGGCTGGCTGACATGTCATGTCAGCACTCTAAGATCATACCCTGACCTCTTACGTCGCATCTCTACCGAGTTCTGGCAGCTCGTTAGCGCATTTATATTCCAAGGTGTAGTGCTTGGAGGTTTTTTTGTATTGTTGATTTGTTAGATAGGATAAGAAATCAAAACAAGGCTACTATAAATGAGCTCCTATACTGGGGAGGTTGGACTCTGAATACTTAGTCATATCTAGCTCCCTAAAACAGGTCATTTGCACGCACTCTTTAGTTTCCTGTCTATCGCGTTCATTTCATCATCTCGATCGCATTGTAAGCGTCATGATATCTCTTCGAGACCTCTTACTCTACCAACAATCCGCTTTTGAGCAGAAACCATCCAAGTCTGCGTGCCTGATCAAGTGGAAGACTGCCAGATACACTGCTAACTCCACATGCAGTAGTCCCACGGAAGACCATTTCGTCACAATCAACTTCTCAGCGTTGCCAAGAAACCACGAAACTAAAGAAACCGACACTATCGAAAACCAGAATCGCCAAGCCAGAAGATAATATTGGCATGGACCGAAGTAAATCTCAACCGTCGTCCATGTGCCAACCCCTAACAACCACATGAAAGCTCTCCCAAAACTCCATCTCCACTTGGACATCTGCGTCATGCTGCCGCCCGTTTTCAAGTGAAGACCTGCGAGGCCGCTCCATCCCTCCAATATTGCTCTGATGTCACCTCGTGTTCGAGGCGGCCACCAGCGTAGAATGTTGGCCTTTGGATTGCAGAAGCCGTTTGGGACAACTGAGGAGACCGTAGCCGACGTTGCGGTGGGGAGGATGAAATAGCTCATAAGCGTAAGGGTTTGTCGGAGAGTGCCGTTTTCCAAGAGAGATCGCGGACCAGATTCTGCCGGGAAAAAGTCGACGAGACATTGAGATCCGTTGGTGATTATGTACTTGCCACCAAGGATCACTATGATGGTTTTGAAGATAATGGCAGCGGTCTCGGTGGCTCCTCTGAACCAGGACTCTGAAGATGACGACGACTGGGCTACAGACGACTTGGATCCCCTACCGCCCAAGGCAGACCCTAGAGATGGGAATGGGATCCACCAGTTGATTGGGGGAAGAAAAGCATCCAAGGCGACTTTTGCCATGGCGAGGCATATTACTGTTAGTGAGAAAAGCACCAAGTATACAGGGGTGCTCATCCTCTCCGGCTGCATATGCTCTCTCGGTGCCATCGGAATATGGTCATGATCTCGACGGTTCGAATTTCCTCGCGCCGCCAGGCCATCGTGCTCCCCGTCTCGCTCCGGCCGGTCATTCCGGGTACCTCGGAGTTCCGGAATAATACCACTGGCGAGTGGCTCCATGGACCCAGCTACAGCCTTATCACGGCCGATTTGACTTTGAGGAGGTCTTAGGTCCGCTTCCGTCCGCCACGGAAGAGGTTCGCGTTCTGAAAGTGATGATATCGATATGGTTGAATACAGTTTGACTGAACATGATAAGGAAGCCTGGCATGGTGAGATTACGAGGTGCAGGTGAGATGCAGCTTATCTAAAGTACTTTACTTAGTAAGTAGTTGCTGTGCCTCCCACTGGGCAAAAAAGCCTTAGGCCAAGGAATGGCCAACCTACAAAAGTAGCTCAATGAACGATTGGCTGAAAAGGTAAGGTTGTACAAGGTCAGTCACGTCCATTGTGGTCGGCAGCAATCAGCTTTTGGTTCTTGCTTTGTGAGAATAATCTTCCTATTTTATGTTCTTGTTTCTGTCTTTCAATCCAACCCCTTACTGCCTTCCTGCGGATTCGAGAATCCCTTTAGTTTCTCAACGACGGAAATGGCTTCCCTCAACTTACCATAGATACACAACCATCAACTCGTGGCCTTGGCTTGTCAGACCATATTCTGTAGCTTGACATACCGGCACCATAGTGAGCAGTAGTCAAGAAACAGCATGGTGTGGGATCTGTCAGCGCACAATGTAACGTATCCCATCCACTAAGCGACGGCCCGTTTTCCCCTTAAATCCCTCCAGTATTCATCCCCCAATCTGTCACCATGCCCGAGAGGAAATCCTACGCTGTGCTGACGTCTTGCTAGGGGACCAAAGACTATCGAATCTGACAGCTGGCTAAATCCAACAACAGAATCCGAGCCGACCTTACAGCACTTCTGAACCAACCTCACGACGCCCGTATAGCCCATCTTCAGGGGTCTTTAAGCATGCTAGCCTGATTCCACAGTAGTGGCGCATATGACCCGCGTTCCGACGACTCAATCCATGATGGATTCCCACGTACGATGATGCGATTCGGAGGGTATACATAAGTATAGACTCAAGTCATTGACCTTCATCATGGACTTCCCCAGGGAGTTCAGCTCGGCTCACTCCTTCAAGATTCTTCGAGCAAAACGCGCTCATCGATTGAAGTATCAAGCGACAAACCCACCCTTCACAACATAATGCTGCGGACTTTCATCTTGTCGCTTGTGAGCCTCGCGGCGGCGCAAGACCGCCTCTTTTCCTCGGCCTTTGGGTACCCCGGCCGCAATACAAGCTACGATTACATCGTCATCGGCGGCGGCACCGCCGGCCTAACTATCGCGTCGCGCCTCGCCGCAACATCGGCCTCCGTCGCTGTGGTCGAGGCCGGCGGTTTCTACGAGGTCGAAAATGGCAACAACAGCGTCGTGCCCCTCCTCTCGCTGACCGGCATTGCCTTCATCGATCCATCGCCAGAGTTCACACCGCAGCCCCTGATGGACTGGTCCCTGGTTTCGGAACCGATCGCAGGCGCCGGAGGCCGACGGGTGCACTATGCGCAGGGAAAAACGCTTGGAGGCTCTTCTGCGATCAACACCATGTCGTATATCCGCGGAACAAAGGGATCCTATGACCTCTGGGCCGAGACAGTTGGCGATGAGACGTTTCGATGGGAGAACATGCTCAGGTTTTTCAAGCGCTCTGTCGACCTCACGCCGCCGAACGAGGAGAAGAGGCAGAACACGAATGCGACTGTGAGGTTCGATCCTAGCGACTACGATAAGCAGGGAGGCCCGTTGCAGGTTTCTTGGAATAACTGGGTCGACCCGACGCTTACGTGGCTTGCTCAAGTGGTTCTGAGCCTCGGACTGAGTATCAGCCCTAAGGGATCCAGCAGTGGCACGCTCGCGGGATACGGCGCGTGGGTGCCTTCGACGATCGAGCCGGAAAAGACGCAGCGATCTACGAGCGAGAGCAGCTTTCTACGACAGGCTATCAAGGACACTGAAATCACTGTGTACACTCACACTCTGGCAACTAAGATCCTGTTCGATGGCACCAAGGCTGTGGGTGTGAGCGTCAACTCCCAAGGGGTCGAGTACACCCTGTCTGCTAATGAAGAAGTCATCCTCACCGCTGGCACGTTTCACTCTCCGCAACTTCTCCAGGTCTCTGGAATTGGTCCTCGCGAAAGACTGGAGGCCCTCTCGATCCCGGTCATCGCCGACGTCCCCGGCGTGGGACAGAACTTGCAAGATCCAATCCAGATTTTCGTCGCGTACCCCGTCAGCACGCCTTCTGCACAATCTCTTACCAATGATCCAGCCCTCAACCCAGGCTTCGTCGAAGAGTATCTCAAATCTGGCACCGGTCCCTACAGTTCCGCTGCAGGCTTTTTGGCGCACGAGCGGCTTCCGAACTCTACTCTCGCCAATCTCACGCAAACAACTCGTGACAAGCTTGCTTCGGTTCCTTCTGACTGGCCTCAGCTTTCCTTTATCGTGGGGTCCTTCTCAACTGGGCCAGGACAGACTAGCGGGACTCTTGCTGCCTACCTCCCTCTCGTCTTCTCACGCGGCAACGTCATTATATCGTCAGCTTCTATTGACGCGAAGCCGGTCATCAACTTGAATTGGTTATCTGACTCCGCCGATGTAGAACTGGCTGTCACGGCCGTCAAGCGGCTACGTACGGCTTGGGCCTCACCATTCGCCAATACTCCCGGATTCAAGACTGGCTCTGAGCTGCTCCCAGGAGATTCAGTGCAGACAGACGAACAGATACTGGAGTATGTGAGGGCTAACGTGGGGCAAGTGTGGCATCCTGTGTCCACTGTTGCCATGGGAAAAGAGGAAGATGTCACATCGGGCAAAGCGGTGGTAGACAGCCGCGGGCGTGTGTTTGGTGTCCAGAGGCTGAGAGTCGCTGATGCGAGCGCTTTTCCATTTGCTCTGCCGGGACACCCTCAGTCTGCTGTGTATGCTTTGGCAGAGAAGATTGCGGAGGACATAATTATTGGTCGTTGAACAAATCACATTCATTGGTAATGTGTCAAATTGGCTATGGTTACTAGGTAACTAGGCTCCTGTGGTATCCTCCGGTGGCCCTAATTGCGTAATGCAGCATACCGCTTCTCCTTATTTCCAAGCCAGATCACTGGCCATTCATAATCACCAATTCCGAGTCATTCCTTCTATCCATCTGTAAGGTACCCAATGTTGAATAGCGCGGTCACGCTGCCCATGCAAGGTTGCCTAGTCGGTAGCCAGGTAAGAGCTCGGTGACATGTCTCAGTGATTTTCCATGTGTTCGATGAACTGTTGAATAGCCCTGCAGTCGGACTCTCTGCACTCGATTTCCGATTGGTTTCTCTTGAGGTATTCCATCTCGTACTTGAGAAAATGCACACGAGTCTGGTTCTCTGCAATAGCTTCCTTGACCATTTGCACCTTTTCACGACGACCAATGTTTTCAATGTTGGTTGACGGAGTGCAAAGTCATATAGAGATCAGAGTCGATCGTAGTGACAGTTTCGTCAGCCAGCTCGCAAAATTCGCAGTCGCCTTGGGTGCAAGAGTCATCTGAAAGCTGACTGTCGCCGAGAGCTTCGTCGCTCTCTTCGTTCTATTCATCTATTGTTAGCTTCGGATGTTTTTATGGTGGTGTGGCCTATTTCCCCGAGCTGATGTGATGAGACGTGAGGGGAATGGAGGTGCTGATAAAAAGGAACTCAAAGGAAGAAAGGAAATGGAGGCTCATCTCACGGCACCGGCGCTGGCGTTGGCGTTGAAAAGCCTATGGCCCATCTTGTCTCAGTACAGCGTTTTCGCTGGTGTTGACGACAAAGAATTTCTGGTAAGGGTAGGGCCCTGGTAAGAGGTCAGATGGAAATTCGTCAAGGAAATTCATATTATATCACCTAATAGATGTAGTGATGCGAGCATCGATAGCAGCCTCCGCCTCGACGGTGCTCACGTACGCCCTCATGTTCTTGGTCTCAAGCCAGGGGTCAAAAGTAGACTGGGTTTGGAGGATTTTCCAGGACACCTCCCCCTTCTGGCCCAAACGCCAGAGACGTCCAATGACCTGGCACTGCAAGCCAAAGTTGGAACAATTCTCCTGATAAGAGGTCAGATGGAAGTTTGTTAAGGAAATTCACATTATCTCACCGACTCGATGTCAGGGGGACTATCAGCTCCAATAATTCCTAGCTGGGCCCGGGAGGTGTATTCGAGATGGTCTCAGTGAGAACATCCATTCTTGGTTCTCAATACCACCCGTACTTACGAAGTTCCAGGGAAGTGGCTTCCATACAAGTCGTCTCCAGACGAGCTTCATTGAGAGCGTCTACGACCTTGAGAATGCAAGTGGAGTCACCTTGCCGAGTGAATAGATTAGGTAGGTGAAAGTCTAGGTAAAACATCCAGGCGAGTCGTGAGAGAACCTGTCTGCTGGAGTAAAGAAGCTCTCCGGGCCTTCACTGAAGATGTAGTGATAATTCTGCTCTCCTCGATGTTGTTATACTCGAGAATCCAAGGGACCCAAAGCAGGGTGGGATTGATCTCGTTGTGGTCGGTGGTACATTTTGGAACCCTTGACGGTTCGATGCACCAAAACCTCGCCCGGCGTCTAAGCTTGTGACCTTACTTACTATGAGCACGGTTCTATGCAATGTGACTGAGTGTATAAGAAAGGCAGCGCATGATTCAGGACATGATCAGAAGCTAGAAAGATTAAATCGGAATATCATGTACTGGTAATTGACTATATTGTACGTTGAGTCGGCGATTGTTCGTGGTGTAAGACATGAGTATAATGTTCCACGCGGTCTCGGGCTTGTGGCGCTCAGCCTTGAAGCGGTCGAAGAGCTTGACAAGGCCCTTAGTCTTTTCCAAGGTTTCTTTCACCCTGTGCTTGGGCGCGGTCTTGGGCGTCTGGTAGAACACATGCACCTTGAAGAGGTGATAGAAGTTCTCCTTGACGACCTTGAACGTCTGGTCGAGGACGGACGCTGGCATCACAATGGCCGAGGGATAGTACTTCCACTCGGGGTCGCCCTCGATATATATATATTTATATGCATAGATGTGCGCAAGTGATAAAATAGTTTGGATCATGGACCCATATACAGCTAAAGTACAAAGGAGTATCATGTCGAAAGTGCCTGGCCTTGCTGAATCCAGGTCTCGTGGGATCGTTACATTG